AGAACAGGTAGCGCATCTCCTACTACCATAACATATTCATACACATATAAAGATATATAGAACAGGTAGCGCATCTCCTACTACCATAACATATTCATAGACACATATAAAGATATATAGAACAGGTAGCTCATCTCCTCCTACCATAACATATTCATACACATATAAAGATATATAGAAAAGGTAGCTCATCTCCTCCTACCATAACATATTCATACACATATAAAGATATAAAGAAAAGGTAGCTCATCTCCTCCTACCATAACATATTCATACAAATATAAAGATATAAAGAAAAGGTAGCTCATCTACTACTACCATAACATATTCATAGACATATAAAGATATAAAGAACAGGAAGCTCATCTCCTACTACCATAACATATTCATAGACATATAAAGATATAAAGAACAGGTAGCGCATCTCCTACTACCATAACATATTCATAGACACATATAAAGATATAAAGAACAGGTAGCTCATCTCCTCCTACCTAAACATATTCATAAACACATATAAAGATATAAAGAACAGGTAGCTCATCTACTACTACCATAACATATTCATACACATATAAAGATATAAAGAAAAGGTAGCTCATCTCCTACTACCATAACATATTCATAGACACATATAAAGATATAAAGAACAGGTAGCTCATCTCCTCCTACCTAAATATATTCATACACATATAAAGATATAAAGAACAGGTAGCTCATCTCCTACTACCATAACATATTCATAGACACATATAAAAAGATATTTCAGTTGTAATTGCAATGCTTTTTAAATGAAAAAAAACAACAACAAAATACTAATGAGAACCTCAACTATCAGGTACTTTTTAAAAAAATATTTGAAATAAGTTTCTTTAATGATTTGATATATAAGTTAAGGCAAAGTCTTAAGCAATCAAGCTAATTATTGAAAGTTTAAAGGAAAATTGGTACATTTCAGATTTTTCTTTGGAGACAAACTGATCACAAAAAATGATTCCCCATTAATAAGCTCTCTTGTTGATCTTAAACCAACAAAATATAAGAACACTATTATTATTATTCAAATTCTAAGCTAGTTCTAGTTTTCAATGCTGCTACTTGTTTACGTACATTTTATTTAAAACAAATTTACATTATAAAAAATTATTCCTTTATGCTTTCCTTCTTACATTTTTTAAAGAAAATTATTTTTCTAAGCATATAAAAAGTATCAATGTTTCAGTTGTTAACATTTGTTTGGAAATGAAAACCAGAAGTCTTTATTTTAATTATTTCTTAAAGAATACTTTTAAAAGTAAAGCACTAAATGTTTCTGTTTCATATGCCTATGGCTGTAAATAACTGATCAACTTCTTAACATTTAAATACTAGTTTCTCATAATACCAAGCATGAAAAATATTTAATATTAATTTACTGTGAAATTTTTTTGCCACTTTTAAACCACATTGAAATATTGAATTTTCTGTTATAAATTACACACCCATTCACAAAGATCACGAGGTAGTGTTTGTTCTGCCAGGACACCAAAGTCTCTTTGGAGATCTGAAGAGTCTATATCAGGCTCTATCAAGATTGTAGTAACATTAGTTCCTGGTTTTGTGCATTCTAGAAAAATAAAATCTGATATTACACTTCTGTTTCAATCTGATTTACAAAATAAAAACAATTATTATATGCATTGAATAAACTGGTGGATTACTCAGAAGTGAACATGATAAAAATCACTAAAAGAGCCAAACTGCAAAATTCCCTCTAAATTGTGTGCACACATGGTCATACAATAAACTTACATGTGCTGTGCCTGTCTCAATTCATGTCACTTACTTCCTCTCTAGTTATAGCATGCATATTTCTTTCTTAATTGCTAACAGTTTAAGTGTAACAACCTTCCTTCTAAGTACAAGTATAGTGTCTGCAGTGTACTCCATGAAATATTTAATGCTTTTATTATTTTCTGTAAACATCGTTAGCCTAGAATACCTTAATTTTTAGGATAATTTTTCTGAATGTGGAGATAAACTCTAGAGCTTTATTAGTAGGATCTTGAATTGGAAAAATAGTGCAGATTATACTGCAATAATAAGAAAGTGCTTTTGATACTAACTGCAAAACATACATGCAATATTTCTTTATTTGGTGTTACAACATTTTGTTGCCTTTTGGTCATTTCTGCAGTTTTAGAGTGCAAAACAATAGACAGAAGTGGATCCTCTCTTCAATGTATTGTGGTATTCTAAGGTAACTTGACTTTACTCAGAGTGACAAAATACATCCATAAAATAACAGGAGATTCAATCAGGACACTTGCTACAGAGTAGTTCTGAATTTCTCTGAAATGGATTGAGTTCATGAAAATAGAGAAATAAGACACAATGACAGTCACTTTTACTGTTTTTTTCCCTAAACTGCACTTGATGAAATTTTCTACCAGACTGATTAAATCTAATATTACTTACTTAACTTGGTAACATTAGACTTACCACAGAGACTAGCTTTACCCACATGACTAATCATTTCCATTCAAACTTTAGGGAGGTTGTAACTTCAAGGCATCACTTGAACTACAACTAAAGGACATTGCTACAAAGTGCAGCTTTACAGATGTTATGTCATGAGAATGATAAAGAACAGTAGCTAAAAAGAAAGCAAGTTAACAACTTTCTTGAGTATGTTTTATTTGAAAACATCATGCACCTAGAATAACTGACTAATTTCAAAAAATACTTTATTAAAACGAGAAGGTAGAAAATGCATGGTATGCCTGTATATCACAGCATTTGCACAATTGTAACATAGCAGTGAGTTAGTTCAGTGCATAATGCTAAAAATGTAAGCTTGTCCAAAGACAAAATAGCAGTGCTCAATGGAGTTTCCATTTCTGATCAACATACAGAAAATATACAGAGGGAACATTGCATAACAGTACATAAGAACAATTAAGAATTTTTACAGATGCAGATAATACTTGTAACATTTTCTACAGTAGTGTTTCTCATTATTTCCCTACTGTAATACTGTAGGGAAATAATGTTTGATTAAAATGACCTAGTTTGAGAAAAACACATCACACATACCAAAAGATTTTACTTTCTTCATAGCTTCTTTGATTTTTTCAATTAGTTCTAATATTTTACACTGCTTAGCCAATATGATGCAATCCTCAATTTGGTCAATAGGTGTTTCAAGTCTTCCTAGATCAGTAATAAAAAGCATTATGAAACTCGAGAAAGACAAAACAAAAACAATGCTTTTAAATTTGGTCTTATAGACTATCATTAACTCTCTCGCTATGAGCTCGGTCGAATCAGCGAAAAACATGACCCCAAGTTGACCTTTATAGTTTCCATACTACAACTTCTATTACATTTAGCATATCTTTATAAAATTTCGCAATCTCTCAATAATCATTAAGAGTCATTTGTAGACAAATCATCACAAATTTTAATGAAGGATTTTCACTAAATATTTCTCCAGGAATATATGGAGACGTTGACTGCTTCGAGTGCAACATGATTTTCATCTTAATATTTCTCCACGAATATATGGAGACATTGACCGCTTCGAGTGCAATATGATTTTCATCTTGATATTTCTCCAGGAATATATGGAGACGTTGACCGCTTTGAGTGCAACATGATTTTCATCTAATATTTCTCCAGGAATATATGGAGACGTTGACCGCTTCGAGTGCAATATGATTTTCATCTTAATATTTCTCCAGGAATATATGGAGACGTTGACCGCTTCGAGTGCAATATGATTTTCATCTTAATATTTCTCCAGGAATATATGGAGACGTTGACCGCTTCGAGTGCAACATGGTACTTTCCTTCTCAAATTTCACTTGATAAATCTCAAACCTTATAAATAAACTTTAATTTTTTTTCAATAAAACTATATATTATATTTGTTATTTTCTCTACCCTAACTGTATACAAGGTTGGTTAATTTGAACCAACCTCATAAGCACCAATAAAAGAAAATCTAAATTACCTTTTGTTTTTCCAGAATGACTTCAAATTATAACAAACTACATTTGTTATCCTCAACTCATAACAGTACACACCTGTTTATACTTAATTTTATGGTTTTATTGATATTTAAACCATGTCTAACTAGTATTTGCACCATAGAAGTTGTAAATTACTTTGAGAACATAAAGCTCACACATTACCCTATCAAATTACATAACACAAGAGCTAATCACAAGTTGCCTGTGAGCATATTTCATAAAAAATTGTTGTTATTATTATTCACTTTACATAATCTAACCTATAAAAGGTTTCTAATTTTTACATTTTACTTACTCTTATAATAATAAACAAAGAATGCAAATGAAAAACAAGAGATAATTTACTTCATTAGGTCTTCTTTTTTTGCTGTCGACTGTCGTGGACACTTAACCCTACATTTTTATACTAATGATACTACTGCACTAAATTTTATACTTAATTAAATAATGCACAAAGAACACTGAATAATAACATGCCAAAACAGACAATGTCTCATAACTACCATATTTTCTCTGGCTTTCTAACTATGCAACAATAGCTGTTAAAAATTCATCTAAACTTGTCATTGTGTTTTCCATGGGAATAAAGTTTGAACTGGAAGCAAAATAGATAATTCTCTGTACAGAAAAAAAATAGTATAATATATAATTTGATAGATTAAAACCTGGGCTCATTATTAGTTATAGTTATTATAACTAGGCTCATTATTAGTTATAGTATTAAACATCAGAATAAACTATTGGCAATTTCTGAAAGAGAGGATGTGACAGGTGGGTACGGAATGAGGGATCTGATTTTCTATTTGATGGTTATGAAATTAACTCTCTCAGCATGGGCTTGGTGCCAGTGATTGACCTAGTAACCATTTTGTGCTTGTTATATATCATCAGTAAACATTACAAGGCTTTTGTATGCAAAGTGACCTGTCTTGGCTGCTTTAGTGGACTAGTATTTTGTAAAATACAGTCATGTTTCAGCTATAATACATTGTATATGTATATACATTATTACTATTTATAAATAAGTTCTTAAACTTATTTTTCTTAAAACATAGAACAGTATATAAAGAAGTAAAGCAAACAATTATCTCTTCTAGTTACAAACTTGGTACTTGGTTGGTGCTTGAAGGATATGAAACAAAATGTTTTTTTTAGGTTTTATATATACATTTGAATAACTAAAAAATCATAAATTACTACATCAATACCATAGAATCCAACTATAATTTATTAAACTTAATAACTAAGATGTGTTTTAGTCTAAAAAAATATGAAATTTCGAGCATACTAAAGACATACCCTACCTCCTTGAAATATTGATTCAAAAGAAAGAAATGGCATCCATTAAAATGGCTGAGAAAGCCACTACAGGGATATTCTGAGCTTCTGATTGGTTAATCATGTCATATATAGAAGTAAGTGTATATAAGGGAGTGTTTCCAAAAGCACAAACAAGTTCTTAAACTTATTTTCTTAAAAAATAGAGCAGTATAGCAAACAATTATCTCTTCTAGTTATGAACTTTGTACTCGTTTGCTGCTGGCCATAGATTGCTAAGCCTTATCAAATTTCACATGTGGAGGATGTGAAATAAAAAAAACTTGTTTATAGATTTTATATATACATTTTGAAATAACCATAAATCATAAAATACTTTATCAATACCACAGAATTCCACTATAATCTGTCATGCTTTATTTGAGTATAAAAAATGTGAAATTTGAGCTCACTAATGTCTTATCTTACCGCTTGGAATCTAGCATGAAAAGAAAGTTTGCCACATAAATACTTTAAAGAAGCTGAGAAAGCCACTAGAGGGACATTCTGAGCTTTCAATTCGTTATACACACTTCATTGGGCAGGGTCACCTTGGTTGATTCAATAAATATATTAATATCTCAGAAAATAGAAAAGATACGAGGTTTTTATTTTATATTCTAGCTTGTTTATATCAGTAATTTAATTCATAAAAAACTACAGACTTTGTATTTGGACATAACAAACATCTAATTTGAACATGCCATGTAACACACAAAAATTGATATTTAGGAATTTTGTTTTTTTATATTTACTTTTAAATTAAGAAATTAACTCATGTATAATACTAAAATTTGAATTATAATCTACAATTTGATACCAAACTTATTGAAATAAATTCATGAAATAGTAGTTCAATAAAAATTTGAATGTGAGTCAACAAACGAGATGACATGGCCTTTCACCTGTGACCCGTACAGAAAGGGTTAAGAGGCTTTCACAGATTCACTTCCCTCTGTGAAAGTATGGCAACAGAATAAAATAATGGATATGTAAGTTAGATGATTATGTGACCTATGAAGAAACTCTTGATACACCCTGTGTATGAGTGTCCTATATTGGACATTTAAGTTGTTTTCATTTTAAAATCAAGAAATTATGATAGTATCAAATCAGGATTTTGTAAATTTGTCCTCTTCAGAACTTAAACCTCAGTTCTATTCCACTAATGTTTTCTAAAACCAATTATCTAATAATACAGCTGCCAGAGTTCAAATTATTAACTAAGACTCACTCCTAACTTTGACTAAAACCATGTCCCCCCAACCAGAAAAAAAATCTTCCATCCAACAATACAACCATAAAACTTTAAATCCATTAAACTATCAGTTATCTCTGAGCAAAAACAGGCCAACTGCTCAGTCAAGTGTATAAGAAAGATAATTTGTTTAACCCTCTGTCCCCGGGTTCCCTTTACTGCGTATGACACAAGGTTTTAGTGTCTCATATTCAAAATTTTATTAAACTACTTTTTGTTTATGTTATACCAATTAGAATAGCATAAAATATTAGCTAATAATCCATATTTTAATAGTATACAAGTTTTAAGTTCTTAATTCTACAAAGAAATAAATAAAAAAATTCTGAATTTCCACTAGTGTGACACAAGTAACACATTTTGTTATGTTATCATCCCTATTTTATCCATCACCCATCAAAAGTGTTTGAAATTAAATGTAAATTACTCTCTATCAAATCGTTATTGCTCAAACAGACCATAATTTTTATAGCCTTCAATTTTGTTTGGTAACAGAGCTATAAAATAGAAAATTAGACCCCACAATTTGTTGATAGTTCTCTCTCACGTTTCATAACCAATAGAAAGTCAAGATTTTCATCTATCAAATGGGGTATTGTATAACATTGTGTTCTGAACAGATAATCGTCAATTTCACTTGGAGTAGCAACATCGTCCCCATGGGAAAATTAACAACTAGCTTGGATGAATTTGTAACAGCTCTTGTCGCATAGTTAGAAAGCCAGGAAAATTTTTGAGAGGTAAGTGAATTTGTCTATTTTCTGCATGTTATTAGTCTATATTCTTTGGTGCATTATTTAATTAAATAAAAACTGTTAAGTGCTTTACTATAATTACTATAAAAAATCAGGCTTAGCTCTCCTCGACAATAGAGGACAAGAAAAAGAAGATTGGGTAAGTACTTTATTTTTTGTTTTCATATTTATTCTTTATTTATTTATTATTATAAAAGTAACTAAATTTAAAAGTATGGACATTTTTAAATGATTTAACACTAGATTAGGTATAATAAGTAATAATAATATAATTAAAATGGTTCACGAGGCACGCATGCGAGGAGCTCGTGGATAATGTAATTCGATAGCATAACATCAGCTGCATGTTCCCCAAGCGATTTACAACTTATAATGGCACGGATAATAGTTAGACACGGTTCAAAGGGCAATAAAACAACAAAATTTAATTATAAATAGATGTCTAAATGTTACAAACTTAGAGCTACTTAGGATAAACGGATGTAGTTTCATGTTACAATTTGAAGTTATTCTAGAAAGAAAAGAAGGTTAATTTAGGTTTATTTCGATTTTGTTTTGGGTAGTTACGAGGTCGGTTGAATTGACCAATCCCATTTCGAAATAGAGTAGAGAAAATAATACATAAACTATAAGGATTTAGTAAAAAAAAACGTTTGAAATGCATTTAGGAGGTTTTAAGGATTACAAGAAGGAAATATGAGATGATGAAAAGTATTTTTGATATTAACATGAAAATTACTTTGCACATGGAGTATTCAAAACAAATACTCAATAAATTCATGGACAAATCTTTATTTTATTTTTTGTATGTGAAAGACTTGTAATATTAACTGAAAGACTGCCAAATTTCGTCAAGATATACCCAATATATTGAGAGTTATAAGTATTAAATTTATATCAACTTTAAATGAGTACAAAAAGGTCACGTGTCTCAGTCAAACTGACCTACCCCATGTTGAGAGAGTTAATACAAACTTGAATTCTGAATTTGTAGCTAACACTAGGTTAATAAAATTAATGCTCTACTATCTGAACTAGTAAACGAAACAAATGACTCATCATTCTAACCATCCCAAATGAATATATCTGAACTAGTAAACGAAACAAATGACTCATCATTCTAACCATCCCAAATGAATATATCTGAACTAGTAAACGAAACAAATGACTCATCATTCTAACCATCCCAAATGAATAGCTGGTCTTATAAAATTGAAGCCATTAATATAAATATTTTGCTGACAATTTAGTTTTTCACAATAGAATGAATAAAGCTTCATTACAATAACTATGCAAAAACGTGTTAACACTTAAAAACATTGTGAAATAAACAAAAAGTTACCAGTGTATAGATACTGAAGAACTGCCCTGAAGGCACTGCTTTTGACCTTTATACAAAGAGAAAGAAAGAAGTTCAGTTGGATGATATCACTAACTTTTTACCATAACCACAACTGGGTACTGCAGTTTTGTTTTCTCAGTTCATTTCTTTTGTTAACTTTTTTTTAAATTAGTTTTCAATTCTTTCTCAATAAAATAGCCTAAAAAATAGAAAAAAGATTACTTTCAAGAGTTGGTTTTCTAAATCATACAAGATTAAATACCATAAAACACCCTGGATGCTCGAGTGAGAGAAAAAAATCATAAACTTTAAATGAACTATGTATGTATGTATGTGAAACTATAATATGCTTTTACCAGCTATTCTCAATATTTCAACAAAACAACAGTCTGTGCCTTATTACTTACCATTGGATGAGTAATGTAAATGCACTTGCGATTCTTCCATTTACTGAGAAACATGTCATTGAAATACTCACAACGAACTGACAGAATACAACGATGAGCAAAGAAGGTTTCTTGATGTACTACAAAGGTGACATCATAATAATCACCATCTTCTAGACATCTGTGGATTGAAATATGTTAGTGAAAGTTTGAAAGACAACTGAAGGTTACATGAATTATAAGCATATTACATACAAATTGATGCAGACCTTACTTGAGCATTTGTTTGACCATCAGGTAACTATTAAGGTAAATAAAATCATGACCTATATATCCAGAATGTATCTTTATTAGCTCAATATTTACAGCTTCATCAGATACATTCTGGTTGTGATTTTATTTACCTTAATAGAAATGTCTCGTAATAGGCTCAACTTTGTGTTAAACAAATTTAAAAATAATACACACTATAACTTTTAATGTAGTATACTAATTACTTACAAAATTTGGCAAGCATTTTGCAAATATTACAAGTTCTTTTGTATACAAAAAATAATTTTTTTTATTTAAATATTTTCACTAAAGATTTGTCTGTGAATTTATGGAGTCAAAGAGTCTGTTTCAGACTTTGACTAATTAATGCAAGGTGATTTTTATACGAAGATAAAATACTTTTTTCATTTTATAGTTTTCAAATTCATTTGCATAACCACTATATCCTCCTAAATAAATATCAAATATCTTTTGTTTTAAGGAAAACTTTATATCTGTTATTTTCTTGATCCTTACACTGTATACAGGTTCAGTCCATTTCAACAACCTTTTAACCACCACAAAAAATATGAAATAAATCTTAATTACCATTTTTTCTTTCAACAATAACTGATTATTGTTACAAACAATTACACCTTATTTATGCTTTCAGCCAAAGCTAATCAAATTCTAATCTTCTGGTCATTTAGATTTCTTTCTTTCCTGCTGACATTACTGACAAAGCATTTTATCACAGCAGTAAAGCTTTGGCATTATTAAATTTACAGTCTAAATAATCCTCCATTTACCTACATTAACGATGGTTAAAGCAGGTTATCTGCTATTTTCTGGGAACAGCTCAAAACATACCTTTAACAGGATTTGATAAGTTAGAATTTTATCAACTATTACAATAAGCAAGCATTTTATTTCTTCTACATCATTAAAGCAAGGTAACTCCTTACTAATTTCTATTATTACAGCAGTGATTAGAAATGCCAATATAAGGAATTATAAATGACCAAGCACTCCGAGTGTTGAATATTTAGTTATTACTTGACTATTTCAGTCATTGTTTTACAATCCATCCAAACAAAAGATCCACTTGCCATGAGTCTGCAGTTAACAGTTTTAAATGGGTTCTGTCCAATGATCGTTTACAATTAGTCCAGTTAATGTCTTGTCAGGACTTGAAATTAACAAACAAACTGTCAAGTATCAATACATTTATGATATATGCATTTCAGTATTTATATAACAACATTTTGAGTATATTTTGTGATTTCGATCTAGTTGGATGGCATACCTGGAAAAAAGGGGATATTGATACTACAACTTTAACTTGTTTGATTGGTTGCCAAGACAATTAGCACATGGGCCAGCCAACATTATTTTCAAAAATTCTGTGCCTGAATGGTTGCTAACTGGAAGTAATAATAAAGAAATTACATAAACAGTAGATTTGTTTTTATCCCATATTCCTCTTCATCTCTCCATGATTAACATAAATGTTGGCCAACTTTCAGCACTTAAACTATAACTTTTGATAATGAAATACTATTTTTCAATAAAGGTGGCTGTTAGCAGTGGTGTACTGTGTAGCTTGTTGATCTAGGTTGTTCACTGCCTAGATATATCAGCATGCATCCAAATCGAGCATGTTGATTCAATGGAACTTTAGGCAGAGTACACATAGGATATATATATATATATATATATATATATTAATTTAATTAATCTATACTAAATAATTAATTAACTAATATATAGTTAGAGA